GGCTCTTGTTATTCACCGGCTAGGTTAGGTATTACTTGTGAATTTCTTTTTACCAATATGCCGCTATGATTGGCCGGTCGTGTAGCACTGAAAATCAAGCTCAGTGAGAATTTACAGGTCCCAGTCTGCCTTCCGCTGTTCGGGGACTCTAGAGCTATTCCCTTCTTTCTCGTTTTTGTCCAAGCTAGATATCTCCTTAAGTGAGATATGGGGAATTTGCTTTTACATTATGGGAAGTGAACAACTAAAAGCACCTTATGATTTCTCCGGTCCATTTTTGCCTGTATGGTACCCATCTCCTCACTACAGGATCGTCCCTTCAATAGATCTTACAAACAAGGGCCCGCTTGCACACGACTTGGTGCTTTCAAACTCGACGAACCATTTCTCATTTCTTCTTATAGGACAGTCCTCGCTACTATGAACATCTGAATTATCTGAATTTAGTACTTAGATCATAATATCCCTCTTACGAACCCCACTCAGGCTGTCATCCTTTGTGTTACATCGTTTATCGAACATTCGAAGACCAAAAATCGGTCAGGAGCTGCTTGAACAGTTATATAAACGAAAATTCAATAGAAGAAAAACGACCATTCCTCTTGGTACGTCTTTATGTACAAGCACAAAAAGCAACAAGCTATCTCGAAGAATCCTGTTCACTATTCTCCCAAGAGAAAATGTCATTAATAAATGGTATTCTCCGCAAAGTACTCGTGATTATCTGCATTCATAATCGCATTATCTGGATTCGACTGGGCGAGCAGCATTGCAAGCGTTTGACCATACACGAAGTCCTCCGTTCCGCCGTTGATAGTGAAGTGAGAGGCCTCATGGATGATTGTCCCCGCTTTAGAATCCTTGCCAGTGGTCGGAGCAGACCAAAAGACCGTGCAAAGGTAGACAATCTTGGGTTCGTTACGATATACGTATGCTATCATCACAGTCAGTAACAAAATACTTGTAGACTTGTATGAAATAGACGACGCACCATAAACGTCCCTACTACAATCACAGACGTATCGATAAGTTGTCACGTCATCCTGCCGGATCGCCGTAAAATGGTCGTACACTATGGTCTGCCGAGCTAATGCATATTCCCCAAACCATGTCTCATATCGTGTATCCCCACTTGAAACTACCGCATATAACCAGCTAATTGAATCGTCCAAATATGGGATAACGTAAGGCAGGGTTTCATCTATCATGCTTTGTTGAGAAGGGCTGCAGGTGTCGTATTGCACGCGTCGGTGCAGGGCACCTGATTCGGTGTCTCGATGAACAAGCTGTTTCATCTCCTCAGATTTGCTCGCGTACTCTAGAGAGCGCTTGACGAGAGCTCGGGAGACAAGATTGCCTGATAGCTTGGCCTGGTGCGGGGCGGAGACGGACGCTGAGATGGAAACTGGGGAATCGGATGCGTCTTTGTAGAAGAAGAGGTTTGTCGCCTCAATTTTGTAGTCTCCCCCTTTCGAAAATTTGTATGCCTCGGATACTAAGGGGGTGTGAGCGAATTGGGCCAGATAGGATGAAAGAGACATACAGTCATGGTTGGCAATGAAACTGGAGCCTGGCTCTAAAGTGACAAACTCGGTAGCGGTATCAAATCCGTACTTGACACTTGCGCCTACAAATTCGGGATGGTCCTCACCGTCAACGGATGAGATGGAAAATGTGTTCTCCTAATCACGAATTAGAGGCATAGCATGGACGTTAGAAGTGAAGGGATGTACTGGGAATGAAGACAGGGTGCCACGAGGGTCCTTGTATAACTTGAGGCTCTCGTCACCCGTATTGGTCACATTAACCATGACCGTAAAGTTGTTTACATCGTTGACATTGGAGTCGCCTATGAGCGACAAGGACCAACAGGTAAGCGAACAGACGATAGATGACAACGGAAATGTAGGCTTACCAGACACCTTCATGCTGAGGCTCGAGGTGGCATAAGAGAAATGGGGAAAGAGGAGGGAAAAGGCTGCAAGTAACAAAATAGCCTTATCTATGACATTCATCATTGTGAGGATCAGGCAAGGTGGGGTGTATTTTATCCGGATAGTCGCCAATGA